GAAAGTGAGATGGAGGCAACGTTCATACGGATCAAATTGTCTCCGTTGATGAACTCGGCCAATTCGATAAGGCTGGAGGTCGAGTGTTTGCCCGCCTTATGGAATATTGGGCTCTGAGAAGTTTTAAGGACCTTCAACCCAGTTACACTGGAAATAATTTGAGTTTTTGCAAAAGGGATTTAACCCTTCATGTGCTGTGCTTTGATTTCTGCTTTTGTTCCTGCCACCTCTAGTGCCTGAAATGGGCGATTAGGAGACAGATGGGTTTCATCTCCTTTTGATTGACCATCCGTGCTATAAATTCAGAGGCTTTACGTGGTGGAAGGAAGAACATCCATCATCTGGCATTAAATAGTTGTAGAGATGTTTAGAACTTGCTGCAGGGATTCCTTGGGTAGGACGCCAGGCTGCTGGGCTTGCAGCCGTGGCATGAAGGGAAGCGCTGCCTGTTGCAGGCAGGATCGGCCGTTCCTCTGTGTCGCCCTGAGGAGAGGGAAAGCCCACAGCCCGTTCCTGACCCCAGTCTAGTCCCAGCACCAACCCAGTGAGGATTGTCTTTCTGCTGGGCCGTTAGTGACAGGTAAAAGAGTAGCTTGGTGGGACGCTGCTGGTGGGGCTTTCACCGAGATGGAAGTGTCTTGGTGAAGACTTTGAAGACCAACGCCTGCAGGGCAGCTGGTGAGGGGAGCTCTTAGCCCCATTAGCCTTTAAGGTCAGAGCATCAGCAGCTCCATCGTGTGAATGGTTGGATGTTGTTAGTCTTTAAAAGTACATCTGTTGGATAAAAGCCCTTCTGGTTTAGGTAGAGACCTCCCTAATGAACACGTGGAACCTGGTTAAGGTGTAGGGAAGAGCTAAATGCTGAGCTGGTCCTACAGCTCTGAGTAGGTGCAGAAAAGCGACTTCAAGAGTTGGAGCAATTTCCAAGAAGAAGAAAGAAGTATCCTGGGAAATCTGTGTGCTCCAGGATCAGCGTCAACTTGAGAAAGGAATTCAAGGCTTCAATTTCAGGTGCTTGGATTTCACTTCAACACCTGTATTTGCTCTGTCCTTGAACCCAGACGAAGGGAACGAGCGCGCGGTTCCTTGCTGCAGCAGCCAGCCACCGGCAGCAATAGCCTTTCTCTGGGTTGGTGACGTGCTGAGGTAGGTCTGACGCTGTGCAGCGCACACGTTTGTTCTTCAGGCTCATTTTTTGCATGTCGCATACGGCTTTTTGCTCTGTCATTGCGGAATCGAGCTGACGCCCTGCTGGGATGTGGGTAGAAACGTCAGCAGTGCTGCTCCGGAGGTTCCGTGACTCTGGGAGGCAGAGAACTTGTTAAAGCAGGTTCCGGGTGCTTTGCAAACTTGGCCTTGGTTTCTGACAGGCTGCTTGTGGTTTGTGTGCCTCGTCTGACGGAGTGGAGATCGAGTTGATTCTATAGCAATTTATTTCCTTCTGGGTTTTTTTTGTTTGTTCGTTTTTTTAGATCTGTGAGAGATTTGGAAGCTGTGAGCAGGAGCAGCGTGGGCTTTGGAAAGCAGCCCATCAGGAGTCCATACTTTCTGGTTGAGGCTGAAATTTCCAGCACGTGATGGCTGGTTCGTGAGCATGAGAGGGTGGCTGCGGCTCGGGTTCTTGTGCTGTCGGTTCACTGAAGGTATAAAGCACCTCAGTGGGATGTCTCGAGAAGCTGACGGTGCCCACAAACCAGAGGCTTAGGTTTTATATTGGTACAGGATTTGATACCTGTAACTTACAGCCAGAGGCCACTGTGGTCACTGCAAAACAGGACTGGAATTGCTGGTTGCACCATGGTGAGATGATGTGTGTTTCGCAGAAATCCCTGGAAAGCTGAAGAGCTCCATCATGGATCGTTGTTGGCATGACAGCCCTGAGTCAGCCTGGCCATGGACAATGATGTTCTTCCAGGAAGGGAAAGGACACACATTTGATGAGTGAAGGGGTGGTGGGAGCCTTCCTGCCCATGGTTCGCCTGCTGCAGGTCAGTCTCGTACCCAAACTGAAGGTCTGCCTTCGTGCTTAAGTCACAGCGAAGGGCAGTGATAAGAGAAACTTCTTTTGAGTCACGATTTCTGTCTGGAGTGTCGTGCCTCGCTGCAGGACAAGCACAAGATCACAACACTCGGTGTTTTGCAGTTGTGATACGCTGGAGCTCCGTGACTTGGTTACCAAGGCGTGAGCCGGTTGCAGCTCGACTGTTGTCAGGCGCCGATGTTATCTCACCCCAGCAGCAGAGCGGTGTTCCCTGCCTGCCTCTGTAGGAGAGGTTGACTCCACCACCTGCATAAATAGCAGGGAGGTTGCAGCAGTGTGGGCTTTGGGCTTTTGTTTCAGTTAGTTATGGTGGCCTTTCTGCCTCAGGAGAGGCTGAATGGAACACACAAGCGGTTCTTGGATGCTGACCACTGGTCAGAGTTGCTCTCTGGGTCTGTAGGGACATGGACAGTCCCTTCGGGCTGAGTGACGTGTGAAGGGCAGCGTGTGCCAAAAGCTCCCTGCCTCCCAGCTGCTTTCCTCAGGCTCCTTAACACATCCAAAATGAGCCTAAAAGTCCTTTCCTTGGCTGTGCCTGAAGAGCCAGACTGGTACGTTTTCCCTCTTCCCTTAACGTTGGTGATGTCAGCAAAATCCCGTGTCTGGCTTATGAGGAAGTTGGCACTGTCCCAAAAGCACTAATTCCAGTGGCAGCGACTGGGTGCTCCCAGCACACTGCGTGTTCCCTGCCAGCCGTGCCAGGACGGGGGAGGCGATAACCCGTATGGATTCAGTTATAAGGCAGTAATCCGTATAGATCCGGTTCCCCTGTCTCTATTTAAGCCAAGGGCAGAGACTTGACCCCGTTAGGCAGGAGCCTGATGCTAAACTGATGTCTGAAGGCTTCTCTGCGCTTCCATGTGGTTAAATTGTTGAGATGAAATATTTTAGAAGATGTGTTCGGGCGCGCTGAGCTGAGCCAAGGGTGGATTGCTGCTCTGCCTCCTGCAGTTCTGTGAATTTTCCTGCAGTTCTTGTTCCACGCTGAGGTGGCAAAGGAAATTTGCCATCTCCTGCCCCAGAGGTTTCCTCCTGTGTCACCCCCCCCTCCCAGGGGTGGATGTAGGTTCTAATTGTACATGAATTCACCTCCGCGTAAAAGTAGGGCTGGTTTCTGCCCTCTGCGTTTAGAGTTTGGTGTGATGTGTCTACAATGCCTAGTAACTTGAGCTATGGGGAAGTTTCCTCGCTCTGTGGCTGGCAGTGGGCTCATCGTTGCAATGCCTGAGAGCCAGGGGTTAGAAGGAGGAGGAGGAAGATGAAGCTGTTTATCTCAGCATCTCTTACCACATACGCTTGCACGCGAGTACCAAGCAACCCGCTTGAGCATCACGTTTTTCTTCACCTGGCTGTTCTCCAGAGCACTGCCCGCAGTGCGTTTCGGGGACTGGTTATGGGTTAAGGTTGCAGATCATAGTTTAAAGAAATGTTTAATACCGAGTTACGAGTTTGGTCTGTTTCCTTGGCAGTGAGGTGCTGTCTGAAGGCAGAGATGTCTGAAACCATCCATGGCACGTAACGCGCCGCGACAGCAGCGCCGACGGGGAGCGAGAGCTGTTTCCTGAGCAATGACTTCCCGTCATGGCTGATCTTCACCTTCGGGATCAGTGCTGGTGTCAGAATTTCTGCAAGGTGAAAAAGGGGCAGTGGATCAGCAACAGTTACAGGAGTAACTTTCACACAGGTGTGTTGAGGGTGTAAGTCTGAGAAACTGGACTTCAGCCGTGAAAGGAGCGTCTCATTTTTCCTCTCGTTGCTTCCTAATTAAATAAGGCTGGCGGTTTTGCCAAGGGAAGAGGTGCTAACGGGGCAGTTTCTTCCCCTGTTCTGGGCAAATGACTTTAGAATCATTTAGCTCAGGTGTTGGCGTAAGGCGTTAACAGGCCACCTGCTGCTGCCTCCTGGCCTGCAGTGGAGCAGGCAGGCGGGTTTGCTGGTGCCAGCGCTGGCGGTGTGTGCTGACAGGCTATAAATAAGACAGGAGGAAGCGCTGCGGTCGGAGATAACAGCCGAGGACCGAGCTCGGTTCCGATGGCCTCAGCCCGGGGGTGAGGAGCAGAGCTCGGCGTGCTCACAACAACACTACCATAGTAGGAAGCAGCCACAAGCAGTTCAGCCCCGTGTATTAACGCATCTTCCACCATCCCATAGTTCAGCAGAACAACGGAATTCAGCCCCGGTATTTTTAAACATCGTGCTGTTGTGTTTGAAGGGGCTCAGATGTGTCACCTCGTTTGGATAAGGCTGTTTGCGAGCAGCGGGCTGGTATCACGGGCTGGAGGTCAAAAGGCATTACGTTTAATTTAAAACACATTCCTCAAGTTGGCTTGAAGGCGCCTGTGGGGAGAGGCTCCCCCTCCTCTGACTCCAAACAAAACTCCGTTCATGGGCTTTGGAGCAGAGTGCTGCAGGAGATTTGGAAAAACCAGCTTTTACCCTTGGAACGCTTTAGCCTTGCCTAACGCTTAGTGGACAGAGGAAGTCTGTGAGCGCGTGGCAGGACAGCCCAGGGTTTGGGGAATGGAGTAAACTCCCAGCAGGCGCCTCACGCTGCGTGTGGTAGCAAACACTTTGGGTTCTCTTCCCTCTGCGTATGGAACGAGGGAGAGAGTAGCAGCTACTTCAGGCTGGGGCAATTTAGAAAACAGAAAAGCACAATAAAATAAAGATGTAGTTGGGAAAGAAATGTTTATTTTAAGTTTCTCAGAGGGATTTTACAAACAATGGAGCATTTAAAAAAAAAAATAATCAAGTGATCAAAGTACTTGACAGTGTCCCTTAAACACACACACAAGCCCTGGACAGAGGAAGTCACACCAGCGAGGAGGTCGATACTGCCGAAGAGCGGCTGGCATCTGCATAGTTCTAAGAGGAAAGATGGCAATGGTGGTGGTGGTGGTGCTAAAAGTGCCATCCTGGCATGAATGCAAGAGAGCGCTGAAGTATGTACGCGTGTACCTGCAGAGAACAAAGTGCATGAAATAACACGCAGAGTAGGTATTGTAGAATAAATTTATTTACCCGCTACAAATGAAAACGAGGTGTGATGCTTCTTACTGTCAGCATGTCAAGAGACAACTGATCTTATTTACAACTCCTGGAGGTCACACATGCAGCTGTGGTGACTGGCTAAAAGTCGTCTGTCAGATAAACGCATCACAATATTTTGTATTGCACCAACATCTGTCTTACTGCCTTCGATTTAAATAAGTTACGTTACAGTGCAGAGGAGGTCGATTTGCACACACGATAAAAAAAATCCAGAGTTATGCACTGGAGGCTTACGGTTTGACATTCATCTGTAATCTTCTCAATGAATTTTATAAATAGGATAGCATTGTACATAAGCTGTTAGTAGCATGTCTGGATGATACAATACAGAGAAAGATTTGTCTACAACCCAAGGCATGCAGTATTTTGATATCGTACATTGTATAAACTGACGTTTTACATACAGAAATATGGAAAACTGGCTGACAGCTCCGCGATTCTTGTTCAAAGATAAACAAACTCTTCTCCACGCAGCACAGAAACCAAACTTCTCCGGAGAGAGCTCCCAATTCGGTAAGCTATATTGCACGTTTGTACATCTGTATAATGAAGTCCTAATGGTACCACACGTTTCTTCCACAGAGAACACAATGAGTTTTGTTTTAGGGAAAGCAAAGAATCTTTACACATGATACATGCAGAAGTTTTGGTAGATGTGTTGCTAAAAAACACATGCACGCAACAAAACAACCTTACATTTCTGCAAAATTGTTTAGGAAGCGATTACTCCAGTATTGCTGAAAAGGAAAGAAAGAAAAGGCATCAGTTAATGAAAGGATGAATGCCAAGGATCATCGTACAAGCAAGACTAAGGTCAACAGTGGCAGGAGAAAGAATGTTAAGTTGGTCACTGGCTGCTCTGTCGTTGAAGGGACACTCTCAGGTGACTTTGTTCTCAAAGCTTAGAACCCTCTGGGTTCTCTGCATCAGCAGAGCTCCCTGTGTCAGCAGCAAAGCCAGCACTTCCCGCAGAAGTCCGCAGTGGAAGAGAATTAAGACGTGGTCAGGCGGCTCCTGCCTTTCTCCGTCTGACTAGTGGTAACAGATGAGTCTCACTTATCCGTAGTTTTTACTTGCAGGTTCCATACTACACAGTTTGAGCTCGAGTTTTTGAGAACTTTAAGTGTGTTTTGCCAATCGAGGCATTATATTGCGTGTTTGGCCCCAAAGTGACCTAACAATGTCCCTTTTCCAAGTTACTCAGTTTATTCTGGGAAGCAGTAGGAAAGCTTTGAAGAAGTCATTAAACTACACAGAGTAATTAATGTGTAGGCAAAGGGCAGAGTACACCGTAATAAAGCTCTACTGTACTTTACCCCTAAAACAACACGGCATAAGATTAGCCTTGCGCCAAGGAGAGAACAGTGTACTCTGATTCCCTAGAACTTGATGGTGGCTCCTCCAAACACTGCTTCAACACTAGAAAATTTAGGCTCTCCTGCTAAGATTTGAAAATGCATATTAATGTAATTAGGGATGTAATTAGCAGAGATTAGGGAAACAGTTAATGGTTAGAAGTGCAAAAAAGTCAACAAGACAGGTGCAAGAGACAGACAGCTTTGTATCAGTTTCACCTCCCTTCATCTCAGCAAATTCAACCACCTTTAAGGGTTCACCACGAATATTCTGTGCATCAGCTGTGTTCTTGGCACAGTGACAGAGGACTGCTGTACTGCATTTTATCATCACGTTAAAAACTCATTTTCTTACCAGTAGCCTTCTCCAGAATGGCCTCCCTACAAACAAAAGCCTTGTAGCATTTTGACAGATCAGTATAGTATTTTTCCGCAGCCTCTTTCGTACTTATTTAATTTGCAGTAATCTTTGGGAAACCAAGTATGAACTATTTTTATTGCTTGGACGCCAGCAAGCAGGAGCAGCTCGTTGCGTGGCTCACAAACAGGACGTGGAACCACTCACATTTGAAAGCAGAGGGGGCCTGAGGCACGATGAAGATAAAAGCTCCTGTCTAAATATTTGACATAACGACTGCAGCTGCTCGACCAGTTTCTTTGCTCCGATTTGGACCCAGCTACAGAACACTGAATTCGGGAGGAGCTGCTCTCACACCACACCTCACTGATTTCCCAGCATAAGCCAATACCCTTCCCAGTGTTCCTAGCATAAGGCAGCATCAATCCCATGATTGACACCGGCCTTACACACCCCTCTTGACTAGAAAATAAGTAGCAATATGTGAGGACACAAAGGAATCCGGAAACAGTGAGCTTTTTCATCCCCGCTAAGAACAGAGGGTAAAAAAAAGGATAAAGTTACTTTCTAAAAGTGGGGTGGGAGATACAGCCTGAGTTACCCACGTGCTTCTGTTCGTATATTCACAGGGCCAACACGTGAAAATGGAGTTGCCTATTTTTTATCCCTAGATGACCCAGTACAGTGAGGAGGTTGGAGAGGAAAAGCTACACGAGAGTTTCAGCTTTGAGATGCTGGCAACTAAGCCTGTTCTGAATTCAAAGTCCTCTCTCCGTGGCCTCCCTAGATGAAAGGACTGATAGCCAAAGAATGCCAGGATCTACGCAATTAAGGATAATGATTTTAGTCAATGCCTTTTCTTGCGGTGCGTTACTAACTTCGCATGGCGTTTCTGTAGTTTCTGAACTGAAAAGCCATCAGCTGCCTTCTGCTGCTCTAACGTCAGCAGCACAGCGCAGCAGCCTCCCACAGCCTGCTCAGCTGGAGAAGGGGTGAAAACCAGAGCCACACAGCACTCCAGCTCCACGATCACATGGAAGCTCAAAGCAGACTGGGATTTCAGGGCAGGGTGCTTCACTGCCTGGGAGGAAGCTCATGGTAGGTCTTAACATTTGGCCAGTCCAGAGCCCACAAGGCTGGTATTTACCAAAACCAGAAGTACTGCAAGCAACAGCTGCCTTTGAACCTGGGATAAGCAAGTGCTGACCTTAGGGAACCCTACTGCTCCATCTCTACAGGAAAATTTGGACAATAAGGCTGAGCTAGAAGAAAAAACACAGGTGATTGCTTGGGCTCTTTAGGAGCACCTTGCAGAACCTGACTGTTCCTGTAACCTGCAGGGATGAGCACCACTCCCTCTACCCACCAGTCATCCAGCTTTCAAAGGCAAACTCCAAGGAACACAAGGCCCTTATGCAAGTGCCCCAAGACATCTGGGATGAATGAGCTCTCAGATGTCAGCACCGAGACCCATGACACAAGCAGTGAGATTCATCTTCAACATGGACAAAGATCCAACAGAGAAGTTGTTGAAGACTGAATTCTACTTCTTGACAGTCATTTTCCCCTTCAGCTTCTTAGAGACAGTGAGAAAGGGGGTATACAGCGGGATTATTTGGCACAATGGACAGGAACAGGATTGTACGAGAAGCAGAGCTGTTCATGGTGACAGATACATGACTTCACAAAAGCCCACCAACATCGTGCTCTGGAGGTTCACACAGAACCAGCACTGAACAACTCCGAAGTGTTCCTGCCCTGGAAATGTTTGTCAATAATGTTGGGAGCACATGAAACTAACTTGCTAGTGTTTGTTTCCAATAAGTAACATACTTGTACATATGCTGATTGATCTCATGGAATCCTAAATCACATGAGATTAGTCTCCTGTTCAATGAAAAAGGGACGAGTCTCATCTTGACTATTGATATAGCAAGTGGCCTGTGCTGGCCGTTGGTTTTGTGGTATGCGAAACTTCAGTTTGTCAAAGACAGGTTCTTCCGCACTAAAGAGGGCATTCAACAGGATTCGAGTGCCTGCAGTTCAGTAACACGCCTATTACATCATCAGGGCCAGCTCCTGAGTCACTTCAGCATCAACTCAAACAAATCCAAGTCTATATAGACAGCGAGTACTCAATGCAGCAGAATTTCAGTTAAGGTCTGTGTATTTTGAGGTTACCATCTATATTTGAAAGCTTGCAACCTAGGGAATTATCTGTGCTCACTGGATTCCAGCTGGCACCAGCAGAACATAGCTTTTAACTATCGTTTTCCTCTATGAGGAACCAGAAAGCTGTTTGAATTTGGTTACTAAAGCAGGCTGAGCCAGCACGAGATCACACAGCACCTGCTACTCTACAAAGACACAGCGATCCTAGTACCATTTTCCAAGACTATCCTGTTAAGCTGAGACTCTTCTTTTGGCTTTTCACATGACCACTGCACAAAGTGTTTCCACTTACTGGAAATAGTAAGCTGGTTTTGCAAAGAGGAGCGCCTGCACTTTGAGCACTGCAGACACCAGAGAGAAGGGAAGGGTGGTCAGCTTAGAGGGGCATCCCCTACCTTCAGAGCAGGAAAAAGCTTTGCAGTAAACCAGCACCTGACCACGAGTACCAGAGTGTTTTGGACACTAAACATTCCTGTGAACAGCTGTCAGTGTCTTAAGATTTGTCCAATTTTATCTCAAACTTAAGACCAAAAGCTGTAAGATCTGGAGGCACTAAGGCTCCTGGGTGCTATAAAGCAAGACCTAAAATACACCAAACCAAATGCAAGTGCTTTGACTTCAGAATCAGTAATTTGAGCTTCAGACCACAAAACAAGAGTCTAAAGTGGTGATAATAATGTAGCACAGCAGAGTTTGACAAAACACAGCATGGGAATGAAGGAAATTACTATTTATTCTTCAACACGTGTACAGCATATGCTATTTTACAGCAAGTCACCACTGGCATGGTGAAATGGAAGAGAAATACTCACTTTAGTCGATGAAAGTTGGAAGGCATTGGAGAAAAACACCACAGTTAGGACTGTTAATGACTTACACGTTGTTGATACAGGACTGAATTTGAAAACATGCTTTAACATTTACCGTAATAATGAAGGTGGTTAGTGCCACATTAAAATAAAAATAGTTCTATACAATATGTTCAATTTGGTCATGTGCTATTTACAGATTTTACAAAAAACACACACGAGCTTGTTACTTCAAGTCAGGCTAATGACAGGCCAGCAGAGTAACTCCATGTACACAACTGATCGTTAGTGCCCTAAGTGTAGGAAATCCAATTTCTTGCTATTCAGTGCAAGTTATTTTCCCAGGTCTCGTTACAAGTTTTGATCTTGGGGGGGTGAGAGGGGGTGGGAAGAAAGAGAAAGGATCTGACACACGTAAATAAGGTATTAAAACCCAACTCAAACCCTCTTTTGAATTAAAATAGGTTGTGTTTGTTAAAAAGGCTTGGTTTAGATTTAAGTAGACAGAAGTAGCCCTCCCTATCCCTGCATAATGGGCAACACTGGCAAAGTAAGGTCTGTTACAATAAAATACAATAGACACTTAAATAAATAATCTTAAAAAAAAAAGACAACCCTACGTGTGTTGAGAGTATGAAGAACCCCAGCAGGCTGCACCTGGAATGATATTTTCTGCACGAGCAAGATTAGGCATACCTCATACAGAAACTGGTGTAAACAAGGACAGGCAAGAACCAAGAGTGAGGGAAAAGGAAGAGGGGAAACCAAGAAGAAATCCTGACCGAGGCAGCAGTACTCTCTACTCAGTGCAGAAAGTTCTGCTTATGAATAAAACCTGACTTTATGACAAATTAAGTTTGGATGATCATGCAGAAGACAAACAGTAACATGCTTTTTTAGTTTTAGACAACACACATTCATTCCCTAAAATCTGCTGCCAATTTAGTTCGATAGTGTCCGCTGGCTCAAAAAAAATTTTTTTTTACATGATGAATAGACTATTGAACAGAACACTGTACATGCTTTTCATCTACAAAAAAATATTTGCATAAAATAGTGTTAGTTCTCTGTACATGTCAATGGACACTTTAACTGTGTATAAAAGAGGAATATATTGCCCCCACTGAAGTCAGAAAAAGCAAAAAAAAACCAAAATCTAGATTATGAAACCTCCATCACCGGCAAATATGTTCATGTGAAAATTCAGCAGAAATAGACAGTTGCTCTAAACAATAAAAAAATTAATTTAAACTTTTTCTTTGAATGTAAAACTTGTCACCGTGTCAGTCAAGACCAGAACATATCACTAAAGTTAGTGTCTGTGCTGTAAAGCCAGATAACCAGGGGCAGAGTAATGAGCACAAACGGCCAGGACACTCCTTCGGTGCATGCTGACAAGGAGCAGGGTTTGGTGGCAGGCCGCACACTATCTTTACCAGGTTCCAGGTAGTTACGGGCCACATATTTAAGTGTCTCATCCAGCAGAATGACAGGTAGTGAGATTTTCAACACCATCAGCCACTGCGTCACGTTCAAAGGCGTGATCTGGAAGATAATCTGAAAGAAAAGCCAAGCGTTACGTCTTTTCTCCCCCTCCATCCCTTGCCGTAAACCCCAGAGAAGTTCTTGCTCCATCTCCAAGTTCGGGGATGGGTGTAAGACACGTGCACTTACAGGCAGCGGTTCCACATAAAGGATAAGGAAGTGGAGTGACATGGACAAGCAAATGGCGCCCACCAGCCAGATATTCTCCCATGGGGGCATCCTCATCAAGGACTGGTTTTCTGACAGACTGCAACAGAAACATGGCACACACGTGTACGTAAGGCACTAATGGGAAATTCCATAAATTAGAAAACTGGCTGAGAACAAAAGCAGCGTGGCAAGTCACAGTTATCCCAGTCACAAAGCAAAGAAAGATACCAAGACACAGCTTATGTATTTGTTGCAACTTTAAACTACCTTTGAAGTCTGCTTCAAGAGGCTGTTGCAGTTCAGCCTCACATTTATTTTTGAAAGCTTCTGTGTGTTCTGCTCATTCCTGATCATAGAATCACAGAATCACGGAATGGACCTCAAAGATCATCCAGTTCCAACCCCCCTGCCATGGGGGCAGGGACAACTTCCACTACACCAGGTTGCCCAAAGCCTCATCCAACCTGGCCTTGAACACTTCCAGGGATGGGGCATCTACAACTTCTCTGGGCAACCTGTGCCAGTACCTCCCCACCCTCTGAGTGAAAAATTTCTTCCTTATACCTAATCTAAATCTCCCCTCTTCCAGTTTAAATCCATTGCCCCTTGTCGTATCACTACATGCCCTTGTAAAAAGGGCATGCAGATCTACTCTACCTTTTTCACTAAGACCCCAACATCCTCTCCACGGGAGGGATAAGGGAAGGACAGACATGGCAGCGTAAGGCAGAATCCCCCCCAGTCTCTTGTACGCCTGGGGACTTGGTGCGCCCACTGCTGAAATTCACTGAAGAGACTGGCTGGAGGGCGGAGTACTCGCACCATCTTAACGCTCCTTCTTTCATTCTGCTCTTCAGATTCAATCTGCATTTAGGCCACGCTGCAGAAGAGGCTGAGATCCAGAACACCAGATGCAGAGCAGTATCTTACTATGCAGGACCATCACAGCACACTCGTGTCTAAAGTTTATTTGTTTTTAAATTAACTGACCTCTAAGCTATTTGAAGAAAAATACCCTTGACATTGTGCTATTTAGTGGTTTCCATTTATAATCTAATATTAATTGGCTAAACTCACGCTCCCTTAGGGCAGGAAAAATTATTTTCCATATCTTCAACATTCTTATTTTAGTTCTCCTTGATATCACTTTATACTAACATAGGAAGGATAATCTGACTGATTAAGCTTAGATTAGAAATAATGGAAAGTATTTCAGTTACTCATGCTTAGTAAAATACCAGAGTGAGTTGGCAGACTTAAAAATATAACATTTGAGGTCTCTTATCATAAGGTATCTAACAGAGTCATTTTGTTAGCACTAGCAGGATTCAGAAAGGAAATATAACTCATTCTTCGTTAATTGAGCTGTCCATACAGAAAGAACTAAGTCCCACAGAAGGCAGGATTTTGGGTAAGCTGTGCAGAAGCTTTGCTTTCCTACTTGGACATACGAACCTGTTGAGAGCATTGCACATCTCTATGGTGACAAGTACAGAAAGAGCCATTGTCATTGGATATGGAGACTCAAAAACCACACAGTCAACACCAGAGAAGTCTGGATTGTCCTCTTTGCACTGCAGAAAGTGACTCTGGAACAGAACAATGTGAACTCATTTCCACAGTTTGTTAACTTTTAAAATGTAAAACAGGCAATTATGAAATAAGCAGTGAGTATTACAAGAACAAAACTTTTTAACATGATGCCTAAAAGCACTGGTTTTAAAACTTTCGCCAGCTTTAGAAAAATCACCTTTAGTCTTGCTTACAAGACAACACTTAGACCTTTAAATTGTTTAGAAGCTCAGGTATCCCACCTCTGAGCTTTAGTATTAGGACTAATTTATCATAAGTTTTACAGTAACAAGTCTGAAAACATCTTGTTATATGAATTTCTGCAACCTACTGTTTTTCTACAGTCGTTTCAAGTAACAAGTACAAAAGAATAATGTACCTCCCCTCTCCCCCCAAGAGATATTAAACTGAGCAAATACCAGCTGATAAAAGGTAACTCTTGGACCACCATCAGCAGCAATAAACCACCAAGCAGCAGCACCCACTGTGGCAGCACCAACATAACCTTAAAGAAAACAAAGTGCTTTTTCAGTGTTGTGAACTGTTGGCAAGAGAAAAACCTCACTTGCCACACTTCAACTTCTACCTTAAGACCTCCAGTACTGTAAAAAAAAAAAATAGACTGTAACATTATCTCCTGTGCAAGAAATCTGCTCCACCAGTTGTAACTTAAATAGTCATTAAATCCTGTACCAACATCTGCTTATGGAAGCTGACAGAACTTAAGGCAAACAAGGCTATCACTTGAAGTAATCAACCTACAATTTTTCTTCTTTCCTCTCAGAACCCTATGTGTCTCTACTTATACAAAGTAAGTAAACATCAGTATTAGTTAAAGATCTACTAAGTTAGTTAGGAAAATTAAGGTCACAACTACTGGCATGAAGACAGTGTGATTTAAGTATCCACGTACTTACTCTAGCTTTATAGTACCAAAGCTATTTTAAGTTTAAATCTAAAGCACAAAAATAGTAGGGTAGATAGATGACAGTTGTCATTTTCAGTCTTCGAAGCAGTTCTACTACAACCTCAACAGCAAATAGTTCATTAATTGCTGGTCTTGGTTCTTCAATCCCAACCCCATAACACACTCATCTTCCTAAGGCTGACAGTTATTGCACGAAAAGTTAAAATCTGACACCTCGATGCTTTAGCTGAATTTATTTCAGCCTGGAATGAGTCAAATGGGAAAAGGCAAGGAAATGACTTCTTGAGTACAGAAGTCAGACTTGGCCCTAAGTTTATCTGTTCCTGAAGGGCTTCTCCGTTACAAGAACTACAGTACCACCCACTACCAGACATTATGTAAATATTTGTGTGTCAGTATCTAAAATTTCTAATGGTTCTGACAAATTGGTGAACATCAATGATATTATGCAACTAGGGCTTTTGGTGCCTCACTTGCTGCAGTTTTATTTTATAAAAAATAAATCACAATTTCACCATTCCTATCACAGCACTGCCTGCAAACATGCAAAACAAAATGTGAATCTTGAAATGAAATAAAGGAAGAATACCAGTTCCACAGAACACTTATTGCTAGCTTTCAAGATTTCAGCATTCAAGGAGATTAGACAAACTGCTTTCAAGTGGATCTCAAAAAAGAAATTTTACCTAAATTTACTTAAAAAAAAATTAAAAAGCTATTACTACTTACATCCAATAGCTAGGTAACGGAAGAAGAGCCATCCACTGATCAGTGGCTCTTTAGGGTTGCGTGGTGGCTTATTCATAATATCAAGATCAGGAGGATTAAAGCCCAGAGCAGTAGCAGGGAGACCATCCGTCACAAGGTTTACCCACAACAGTTGGACAGGAATTAAAGCTTCAGGAAAACCCAGGGCAGCAGTCAAGAAGATACTATAAAAAAACCCACCAATTATAAGCTTATTTTTGTGCATGTAAATAAGTCCTTCTAATGCTTAAGCCTAAGCCTGCAGCATCACTTCTGGTCTCTTGCACAGTTCTCCATTTAATATCACAAGCTGATTTTCTCATTCAGAAAACTAAAAACACATCCAAGAGCAAACACTTCTAACCACTGGCATGTAAGTTTTGAAGCATTATCTTCTTCTAGTAACTCCAGGAATTAAAGAGTTTCTGGTTTAGCCTTTTTTTTTTCCCCACTCTACTTGTCTGCATAGAGAAATATTGGCGTACATACATACATGCATAAAGGTTTGCAAGCCACTTCCTAAAAGACACTAAAACTTCTGCAGACATAATTGTTTTAGCTCAAATGACTAAGCTTCACTTAGCTGATTACTGCTAGTCCCTGCAAAAACTTAATGAGCATCTAACTTCCATGGCTCCAAGCCTGTGTGAATAAACAGAACAGAAACAGGGGCTGCAGCAGAGCCATGTGAAAGACAGCTTTAAAGTTCACAAGAAACAAGACAATTGTTGTGTTATATTCCACTCAGAGAAAGTATGCTTTCATATAAGCCACTGTTAGGAGATCAATATTGACATGCTGGTACCAGAAATGCGTTCTGTGGCACTGGGGCACCATTCCTTCCAAAGACACAGAAGACACATTCTTCTGGAACTTGAGGTTAAACAAACAGCTAAGTTACAGATGTGGCTAAATTATCTGAAATACCAGTTCTTGTAATTTTTGATTAAGGTTTTTATTTTCCTATGCTAGGTAATTATTCCAATCGCCGAAATAATTGTAAAGCATTTAACCACCTACTGAGCCAGAATATTATGTGCAATCTTTTGTGGTGTGCTAAAATCCTCCAGTGAAGACTAGGCTAAAAGTCTGCAGACTCCTGCACAATCACAACCATCAATTACCTGGAGAACCTGCTTCTCTGGTTTTAGTGAGAAATGCTGGAAGTAAATAAATATCTAACAAAAGGCCTCATCATCTCTACTCTAGTTCAAAGAAAAAAAAAAAACCACAACACTTTAAACCTACCAAACAACTTCTCCAACATTGGAGGAGATCAAGTAACGGATGAACTGCTTCATGTTGTTATAAATGGCACGTCCTTCTTCCACAGCAGCTACAATAGTTGAGAAATTATCATCTGCCAAGACCATTTCAGAAGCAGTTTTAGCCACTGCAGTACCAGAACCCATAGCAATTCCAATTTCTGCTTTCTTCAACGCAGGGGCATCGTTGACACCATCACCAGTCTAAAACAAGAATTTAAAGTTGAAAAAACAAACAAAAAAGGTGGGTTTTACAGATATTTACATATAGGACTAGAAAGGAATTTTGCACTGGGTGTGGTTTTGGATCTTTAAAAAAAAAAAAGATCACTGAAGTACAGAACTATTATTCTGAGGCTTTGAGTTCAGGGAAACGTGGAAACAGTGTTTTCCAGAATAAGACATTAGTGTGACAAGGCATAATTTGGGTTTAAACACAGTGTCTGCCTTTCAAACCAAGTAAAAGTTCGATTACTCACCATAGCTGTAATCTCATCAAAAGACTGAAGAAACTCCACGATTTTCGATTTGTGGGAAGGCTCTACACGAGCGAAGCAGCGGGCGTGGTGGCAAGCATCTCTCTGAGCAGGAAGTGAGAGTTCATCAAACTCGCGACCAGTAAAGGCTTTTGTGGAAACATCTTCATCTTCTACAAAGATGCCGATGCGACGGCAAATAGCTACTGCTGTGCCTTTGTTATCACCAGTAATCATGATGACTCTGATACCAGCTTGTTTGCACAGCTTTATAGAGGAAGCCACTTCAATTCTTGGGGGATCCAGCATCCCCACACAGCCGACAAAGGTCAAGTTGGTCTGAAACAAGACAGCACCAAGTTTTAGTGCAAGATCTCGCAAACTTCTCATCTGACATTAGCCAAACAATCATGTTGTTTGTGTGCTAAATACGTCTCGGCGTAGTGACATTTGTTTTCACTCCTGTCCACAATACTCTGTGGTTCTACATTGAGCAATTAAGATACCAAAGCCTACGTCATCCTGCCATTTGGTCAAAATCAGGGTATTATGCACGATATACTTGCTCTTACGTCAGCTTTTTTCCTGAAAGAGTTACTTCAGAGGCATTATCTGTTTCCCAGTATTAAGTCTTCAAAGCACTTTAGCTCTGACACTGGATTCAGACAGCTAGAGAAGAACTGAAGGTCACAAATGTACCCGCACATTAACAAGTAAGACGAGGTAAATGAGAATTTTTAATGCTTTTGGAATCACAATGCTACATGGTACCATCTGCACAATGAGCATATAGGAGGACCCAGTTAATTCCCAGCACATCGCCACACTCTGAAATGGGATCCCACCTTTCCAAACATACCTTGCTTCAAATGCACTCGTTTTATCAGTTGAGATGTGCTCTAGTTGTCAGCCTTGCAAATTCAACCTTCAAGCAGTCAAGCCTTTCTTTTTCGTAATCGGTGCCAAGAGCACAGTGCACAAGCCAAAAACTCTGACGCAACTGCTGTCATTTCCCTGCCTCTAAATCCTAGATCCAGATTTCATTGAAAAATTACAGAGTAGCTAAGATGATAATCATGGACAGAGCTTTTGCAGCTGACAATATGGAGCAAAGCAAGTAACCTTCACCCTCGGAGAAGAAAATGGCAGGTATGTTTCACCACAAAATCCCCAAAGAGGTCTTGCAGTTGAGAAATGTCAAACTTAAAACCATAAAAGCTGAAACCACAGTGCAATTTTTGGAATATTTTTCAGAGTTGGTCTCTGAGAACCGTTTAAGGTGTTGCGATCCTGAGGACCTTACATATATATGTAAAATAATACAGCGTGCAGGTGGCTGTTTAACTGATTTCTTATACTTTTAGCCAAGCAGCAGTATGTGTATCAATCATCGAGAACAGTTTCTTCAAAGACACATACAGTCTCTTCTCAAACTGAGCATTCCCTCCACACATGTAGCTAACTATTGAGTCTGACAGCAGAAATACCCAGAGAGAAAATTTTCAGACGTAACTCCTAAAGAAATAATCAAACATAAGGAGTCACTATTCTCTAGTTTGGAAGAGGCAGAAGTGTTGAAAGGAAGTTTTACTAAACTTACCTCATAGTTAATGAAATTTGAGGAGTCCTCAAGATTCATTTCCTCTTTCCTGGGGGGATTATCATGGGTTGCCAGAGCCAAGCAACGCAGTGTGTCTCTACCAGTTCCCCACTCTCTAATGACAGACATTATTTTCTGCTTAATTCCTGAGGTTAATGGTATTTTAGCACTTCCAACACGGACATGCGTACATCTGTCAATCACACCTTCAGGAGCACCCTGCAGAGGCAAAAGAAAAAAGTAATCTAGCTTAGTAAAACCCTTCAGCCATTCCGTAACTACACTTTCCCAAGTGAGGAACTGACCTTAACAAACATCTTACTCATGGACGTGCGGCTTGGTTTGTTTGGTGTACAATAGACAGACATAGACTTTCTGTCTCTTGAGAACTCCAGAGTGAATTCTTTCTTCATGAGTTGTTTTATCACCTTATTAAAAAAACACAACAGCATAAAAATGCATTTAGATAATACATACTACAAAACTCACTCCCCAGTGAATTCCAGATAAAAGAGTACTGACCGAGTTGCAAGCATTTGCACGTTCAATTCTAGAAAGTCCTTTCAAGTCTGTGTCAAACACATTCATCTTTTCAACCAGGCAGGTAAGTGCCGTTTCTGTGGCTTCACCAACTTTTTCATATACTCCCTTAGCCTTTGGTTAACACAAAGCAAACAAAAAAACACAGGAGTTTACTTTAAACCTCACCTAGAACCCACCAGAGACAAAATTTCAGGTTTCACAAGGGAAAAAAAAACAACCACACTTAAGACTTACTATGGCTTATGAAACAAGTAAAACTCTCTTTAGTTTTCTCAGTGTTCAACAAACAAGTCATTGCCAGAGTTAATACTTAAGAGGACCTAAATACTCTCCCCCTTGACTAGAAAGGCATTTACCACTGAAAGGTATTACACAGACAGATGAGAACAAACATTTATCCCCATTCTCACACTCTCCTCTGTTCCAGGATATGTACTTACTTCATTGTAATCCAAAGAGGAATCATTACAGAGCGCACAGATCGTTGCGAGTTCCACAAGGCCATCATACTGGCTACATTTAATAAGTTTGTCATCTTTGTGCCTTTCCAAAGGAAGAAAAGAGGGAGATTTAACTTAGTTATTTAGTATTAGCATCTCACCTTTCTCCCTTCTTTAATCCCTTCACTGTAGTTCCATTTAGTACAATGCTTATTAGTTATGGACTTGGAACCACAGAACCAGAAATTGTTGAGAAGAGTAGATTTGATAAAGGTGAGTTCTGCAGTTTAGATCAAAGAGACACAAACAGAACGAAACAATTATCAATGAAATCACTACCTGAACTACAAACCCTTCTTTCCTCCAGTGATAATCATACAGCAACACAGAAGAGAAGTAAAGAGATCAGTGAAGAGGCATATGAAAGCAGCACCAGAGTAGGTGCAGGACGTGTAGGGGAGTTCCAAGGAGGAGAGAGATATTGTTGGATACTTCAGGAGCTCGGCTTCCTTAGCCTTACTGCACATTCTGCAGATCTACTGCCATGCATGAAATGCATGCACTGGGCAGGCATAAAAGCAGATTTGGCCTCTTCAATCTCTTAAAAATTCATCTGTACTACATGTGAACCTCCTAAACCAACGAAAAGCTAAGTAATTTCACAATACAAATTCCACTATAAAAGAAATACTCTTAATGATGACTTCTTCAGAGAGAGGGAAGGTACAGAGTAATGCACCGTTTAGACATCACAAATAAGAAGCAACTTTGCTTTCACATTTGGAAATTGTTAGCATGCGAATTCATTTTCTGGAACATTAGCACACTTCTACAGCAAGCGTAAAAGATGCAAGACAGTGCTCGATACTGTCATTTTCCCTCCTACCAAAATTAGCAAGACGTAACTCTTGACATCTTTCATTAAAGCCCTCAAGAAAGAAAAAACAACCCAAAAAGGTCTGGTGGTAGAAAGATATGGATCACTACTCCGTGAGAATTCATAACATCGACTCTGCCATGTCCAATTACATAAGCTTTTGTTCAGCCTCTTGTAGTACCACAAACAAATTCTAATGTTTTAAAACACAGCATGTGAATAAAACGCATCTTAAAAAAACAAGTATGTTTTTAAAGTTTCGTTTTGCACATAATTCTACAGCCATAGCAGCGGTTTTAAACTCTGAACTCTTTTAAAGTTCTCAGCAGCTCTGCCACCTCATCTGTCACAGTTAATACTTCTGTTTTCACCTGTTCTGGACTTGAAGACAACTAGCATATTTGAGTATCCCTAACTTGTTACACCAGTGTTTCCCCCCACCCCTTGCCTGCATGTTCCTCATCAACAATTCCTGAAGATTAGCAAGTGCATATGGAGTCTAGGATGCTGTGGTCAGTTCTGGATAAAGGTGTTTGGTTTTTTTCTTAAAACTTCAGGTTTTTCGATTAGCTAAAGAGGAATTCACCTGAAGGTCAAATGCAATCTGCTAGCTTTTGCCACAGTTGTCAGTAATTATTGTTAGCTTTATGCTCCCAGGTGGCAAGTAAGCACGTAAACTGTGCATGCTGAGACCTGACAAAACTGCTCCCAACTGACAATCTCCTAACATCACTGGGAAATCTGTCAGTACAAAATTTCAGTTTTTCAGAACAAAATATTTATAATTTCATATTCTGAACGCATCTTAGGGGAAAGTTATGTATCAAATACTTTAAGTGAAAAATTATTATTTATTGCAAAAGTGCTTAGTAGTTATGAAATAGAGTAGGCTGCCTATACAACTGTGGAAGACAACAGTATCTGAAGTTGGAGTACAACAAGGAAATATTTGTCAAGAATGGTTCCTATCTAGAGCAGGTCCTGCCTTGGGGCAGTGCAACGGACCAGGGTGCCTTAAGGTCCCCATCAAACTTTGTTTCCAGTGACAGTCTGCAATCCAAGGTGAAGTCAGTCAGATTTAAAAAAAAAAAGCTGTCTATAAATGCAGAAACAAATTAGCCCTAAAGGCTTGAGAATTTAGCTCCTTGTTTCCTTATGCTCCAATAACAGCCTTTCCTGTGGCAATTTCCCTTTCACAGAATGTTCTTTATGTACGTGAATGCAATGCGATTAACATGCTTATTCACATCTCCCCAATTTCGGCAAGTAAAAATAGAACATTAACATATACTGATGACTGCCTCATTATACCCGACATCTGTCACACACTATATTTTATTATTTTGTTTATCTAGAGCTCTTGCGAGGCCAGCTAAAGCATAATAGCTGGATGCTTCACAAGATGTAGAATTTCACCTTGCCTAAGAAAGTGCCGCCTCCCGAAATGACAGCATAAGCTTTTGTGACAGCAATTAGCTTTGAAACAAAAGAGAATTGAGGAATTAAGATTTCCTACCCCACTAGTAGAGACTTGCAACTGATAAAGTAAACCACATGTATCATTCCTTTCCTAAGGGAGTGGGTTTAATACCAGCTCAAATACCAAAGGCCAAGACAAACAGACACACGTACTGAAATACAGACGCACCAAGTCCAAGAAACTACTGAGGGTAGAGAACAGGAATTTACAGAAATTTAAGAATTAACTTCAACACATTCATAAGATTTTATTTTTTTTCTGAACCAACTCTACCTTCAGAGGCAGAGAAATTGGAAATACTGAGTTCAGATTAACAGAGGCTTACCTCTTCAGATTTATGTGTTTTTCTTAAATAAAAAGGCAAACCTCATTTTGAAGCACTGGGATAGCTAATCTTAGTCCAGTAAGATTTCAGTACAATAAATCCTCTCAACTTACCCCTAATTTATTTCTAGATTATCAAAGGAACATTGCAATATTGGAGTCATGTATTAAATTCTAGAAAAGTAAATCTTCATGAAAATTATTTAACTTCCTTTTACTGTTAATTACTTTCCCCCCCCGAGCCCTTCAGTCTGCATTCTCACTGGCTGATTTATTAACAAATCACTATTGATAACTGCACACAGCGTTTTTCAAGCCTCAAGTAATAGTCAACGCATAAACAGACAAATATTTAACTTCCACAGAACACTTACACTTCTCCCATGGGAGCATATGTCGAACCAGTTACAGTAAATTCGTTCAGAGAACAGCTATCTCCTTCTACTCTGTCCAGGACAAACATCTGAAATTAGAGTGAGAAGTGTTACTACCTTTGAACAATAATTAATGCAAGAGATTTAAACAGGCCTTAAGCAAGCAGGTAGAAGAGGCAAGTTCAAGTTGAATAAACAAACTAGACAAAACCAGATACGATACTCTGAACTTTGATCCCATTTATGTTTGAACAGCTCCCTATAGTGAAGCTTGGAGTACAGAAAACACCACTTCTGCTTAACAGATCTCATTCGAAAACTGAGTTGTGGCAGAAGCATCGAAGAGCTGAAAAACACAAACTATGTTTAAATAACTTCAGCTGTGAAGACTACTCACACATCCACTTCGCAATCCTGACTATACCCAAGCTCTTTCTAAGCTTCAGTCTTGTGAAAAGCGTCTCCTGTCCTGGTGTTTCAGCTATAAGCCACTTTGCCATCCAGTACACTGGTAGTTTAGAAGCATTCAGACACCTCAACTGCCCTACTAGCACTGGTAAAACATTACTTTCAAATAAAGACACTAATTTGAAGGATGCAGTTACACCCCATAAGACACCTGCATCTCGTTCTTTCCTTTGTTTCTGTTTCCCAGTTCTAGGAGAGCTGCAGGCAGAACCAAATCTGGGAAGATGAAGATAAAACATAGCACCTAAAGCTGTCATACTCTTATTATGACTTGCTGGAGCAGTAGTAGAGAAGAAAATAATTTCTCACTGATAAACAAAAAGCTAAGCAATCTCTGCTTCGAGCGAAACCAAGAATAAGCGCGCTGTTTACAGGTATTAGGATTTTGCTGTGTTTTGCAAAATCTTACAATTAAAGTTATTCTGTAGCTGTCAGAGATTAACAAGGAACCAAGTAAGTTGTACTGCACAAGATCTAAAACATTTAGCCCTCTTTTAATTATAAAAAGTAAATCATTTTGAGCTTTCAGTAAACACAACTTAAATGATGAGTGAACCAGGAAGCCTTCTGCTTTTGGAATCTGCATGATGGAAAAACCTCTGCAAAGACTAGGGCAGTTATGCAACTCTACTGCAAGTAACCTCCTCTGGAATACTGATGAGCAGCTGCTTTGTGTCTCTTAGGTATAAATACTACAATACTTAAGGAAGTAGAACAAGTCAACCACCAATTAGAAAGAAAAAGCCATCAATCATAGAGAATAAAGCGCTTAAGGCTTACAAACTTTTGCCAAAAAATACTAGCGTGTGGTGCTCCACATTTACACATCTGGAATTCTAACTCAATGTAATGACTCTGAATATTTGATGTCATAGAGTTGCTATGCCACTGAACATCTACAGTTACTAAACATAAAAACATAGTATTTTCTCCATAAACTTCCTCCACAGAATATCAAGTATATGGGAAGCACAGAGAACTGGCAACTGGACATGCATTATGTTAAGTGACTAGCTATCAAAGTCCCAAATTAATCAACACTAGAAAGAATATTGGGGGGAAGGAAGGAGAGGCACGTAACTTACGCTTGCCTAAAAACATGCCATACATTGAAGATGACCCTGGCAATGCTGGTGACAGGGTCAACTGCACCTCCAACTTGCCAGACTGTCACACAATATTGCACATTGAAAACACCACAGTGATCTACATCAGACCAGTAAGAGCTATGTAAGATAACCAAATAAAGGTGGAACCACTCAGTAGTGAAAATGCCTGAGACTACCCAAGTTACTGTAGCAAACCTTGTTCTCATTGCTGAGTTTCTCCACCTGGCATCTTGCTAAATTAGAGGCAAGTGTTTACACTCACACACATCCTGCTTCTGCAGTGTAACTATCCCACCTATCTGAAATGGGATAAATCATGCTAATTACCAGGAGACTGAATGGCTTACAGACAAGTCAATGGAAAGCTGCTTGCAAACAACTTTCTCTTCCATCACGTGCAGGGACAGCTATTTTTGGCCATGACTAAATAAGGGAAGAGATAAAAGCCTTAAACACTGCACAGTGGAAAACTGAATTCAAAGTGGAAGCTTATCTTAGGAAAATAAAGCAAGATTTTGATGATATGAGAACCAAAAGACTCGCGATCAAAAGAATTCAAGCAATGCTGACTCTGGATGGCTGAGGAGAAAAAGAAAAATAGAAGCAGCTTGTTCAACATACCCTGCAGACTGACATCTGATTTGTGGTCAGCGTACCAGTCTTGTCAGAACAAATAACTGAGGTGCACCCCAAGGTTTCCACAGAGGGAAGGCTTCTAACAATAGCGTTCTTCTTGGCCATTCTCCGGGTTCCAAGAGCCAAGCAGGTGGTAATGACAGCAGGCAGACCCTCAGGAATAGCAGCAACAGCAAGAGCAACAGCGATTTTGAAGTAATAGATAGCACCTCGGATCCAGGAGCCACCGTGAACCGGATCGTTGAAGTGACCGATGTTTATTATCCAAACAGCGATGCAGATAAGAGAGATGACTTTAGACAGCTGCTCTCCAAACTCATCCAGTTTCTGTTGGAGCGGGGTTCTCTCCTGCTCAGTAGCCACCATCTCATCACGAATTTTGCCAATTTCAGTGTTTACTCCTGTCGCAATAACTACTCCCATAGCTTTACCAGCAGCAATATTAGTACCCTAATGTAAATAAAGAAAAGGGAAAAGTTGTAGTCAATCTAGAAACAGGTTTTGGTGGTGACTTTTCTGTTTGTTCTTGTTTTGGTTTTTAATTTAACAAAAACCACCTTATACAAGTCCAGACTGTGTTTCAGCTAGGATATGGAAAAAGGTGTAGAGGAAGAGAGAGGCATTCCCTCAGTATCCGTAAGAGAACACTCCAGTGCAGAATTTCTGCTTGCAGAATGGGCCTAAAACGAATCAATATTCTTCTACTATAAGCAGCGTAGTCAAACTCAGCTGCTGAGTAAGCAGCATGTATTTCAACTGGAATCTTAAGTGTGTTTTTCCTTTCTTTTTTTTAATTAGGATTGTATTTTGCCAGATTTAATGTTATTTACTTTGAGTAATAGATGTATTCTGTGGGGTCCCTGTGTGAACATACTTAACACAAGAAAGTACAGTTAGATTTTCTACAAGGAGCCTACCAACAATAAGAGAATTGTTACTTTGTTATCTGAAAGGCACTCAATGCTTCCTCTAAATAAATTTTAATAAACCGTTTCATTCCTATATAGAAAGCTAGTCCTCAATTTCAGCCACACAATACCACAGTTCATGTGGGCATTCTTATCAGTCTTAAGAACTATTACTTTAGAAAAGTAGTGTAGAAGCACTTTAAAAGTGTGTGTGCTGCTCCAGCCTTCACGATTTTCTTGGGAAGGACAAAAAGAATGAGTTTCCTCCTATGAGCTGACTTCAACAAGCATCTTCCTTGACGACAGCTTTAATAAGTTCCTTCTAATTTTTAATTTATTTAGTTCAATGTACATGGAGATATGCATACAAATGTATATACAGAATACAGCAAAGTAGTCATACAGCTTTCAGGTGAAGATCTGGAGTTCTGCACGTTTTTGTTTGCCAAGTTCAGTGTTATTTCATAAAAGTTTTGAAAGTTTCAAAACAAATAACTTACAGAAAAAAGCATGTTCTTCTTGTCCTGGTTTACGGCACGAGGATCAGGCACAGGGTCAGTATGCTTAATAACAGACACAGATTCACCTAAAATAAAGACAAAGGTCTTCAGAAGAGATTACATATGTATCATCTTGAGACCTGTAGGGAATTGAAAAGTTATAATCCTTGGTCCTAAAATCTTTTAATATGTCAAATCTCCTTCCTGAGATTATTTTTTTTTAATTGCTTCAGTGAAACAGGAAATATTTCAGTTGACCAAAACCATTGAATGGTTGGCTTTTAATGAAAATAGGAAAGCATTTAAGTAAATGTTTTATACAGTTAGAACTAATGAAGCATGCACCATGTCTTTTAAGGAAGAAGAAAAGTAAGCAGCTGATACTCCACTGCCTTTAATGTAGCAAGATCTACTGCACAAATTAGATATATTGTGTGCCTCTCATGCAGTAACAGTATTTCTGTTCTCTAAGCACTGGAAAAGCTATGTTCTCATTTAAATAATTAGATGTTACAATGGTTATAGATCTGTGATGGTATACATCACAGTTATACTGGCAGATCTTACTTTTGTTTTTTTTTTTAAAGTGTCAGGTAGCCATCTGATAGTTAACTCCTTTAGTTGGAAGCCTTCAGAGAACTCTTCCATGAAGACCTTAACTATATCAATTTCTATGAAAATGTCACACAGGTATAGAAAGGTCTCTTTACTATAAAAAGAGACGTTAATTACTACATCAGATTTCACAAGGTGCTAACTCAATGACTGAAGCTAGGAGCACACTAGTTTTTGTAAGCTCAAGTGAGTTAAAGCTTCCTACTTTTAAACGTTTTGTTAAGCAGCATCTTAAGACTTCAGCCCTACTTTATTAGTTAGGAGGCTCAAGCATCAACTTAAAATAGGCTGAAAACAGAAAAGGTTTTCTTTAAAAAAATAATTCTGTTATTTAAACAACGACAGAATTATTCCCTTTAAATAGACTTCCAGTGGATTTCTTCTACTTATTTCAGTTCTGACAGCTTGACGAACACAGAGTGCCCAGATTTTCTTATGCCAAACATAAGCAAGCTTGATCAGTCTTGTGCTATTCAGGGTCCGTACTGAGAAACTTTGGAGCCTGTTTCAATACAGATTCAAGGATCAAAAATAGGTTTCTTACGAATATTTTACTGTTTTAAAATTCAGGGCTAGTTAACATTAATTTATGCTACCAAAACAGGCAGACAGATCTTCATGTTCCAGCTGAGAGAAAACTGTCACAGCATGCTTGGTTGATTCCTAGCTTCTTTCCTATATTCAGAAGTACTGCTACTTAGTTTTGTTTTCAACAAATCTGAAAAGTGCTCTAAATATAGCTCCTGCACAAAGAGAGCCGGGACCAGAAAACACATGAACGTGCATGCACAGAATTTCAGCAAATAAGGCTTTAGTGTACTGAGTCTTTTGTAACAGCAGTTTAAAAGCTGCCTGTATTTCAAAAAGTTTTTCTCTCTTGTGAAAGAAAATGGGTAACTGCTCCATAAGACTTTTGGTAAGATTTCCATACTTTCATATTTGAGCAGTGACCAGATGGTCAAACCTAGAAGACTGCATAAACTAGAATAACAATTCTTAACTTTTTTATTTTAGTTTCCCCACAAATTACTAATGTGTGTCTCTTGGGGGCAGGAGGGAGACTAAAAAAGCATTACAAGTTTCAGTAAGAATGTTCATCCCAAAGTGAACATGTAAAGCTAATGATGAAGCAAAGCATTGAGCCATTCTGAGTTAAATTATTAGATGAGAAATTTACTGCACTTGAATGAAATGTAGTTATTTGAATAGCTACAGGCTTGTTTTCAATGGATTATTCCGAACAAATGGCAAAAAGGCACTTTAAGTTATGGACATAACTATCCAAAATTCACAGAAGTTATACCTGTGAGAATGGACTGGTCTACCCTTAGAGTTGTAGATTTGATCGAAGTAATTCTTATATCA